AGAAGTCCTAGGCTGGAGGATCATCAAACTGAGTGTTTGTACCTGCGGGCATGAAATGCAGCCCCCGAAGAAAGGGGGTCAGCACGAAAAATGTACTGAGTATATAAAACATAAAGTACAATAAAGAAGATCATGAGTGAGTAAAAGATGACAGAAGACAAGTATGATAATCAAAGATACCAATGCACCTATGCCTTATGAGATGAGAGTCATGCATATCTATATAATATACCGTACCCGACCCATTATGGGACTCTACGAATGAAGTCATGTTCATGTATACCGTAACCGGCCCATCTAGTGAGGGACTCGGTGAACTATGCAATGAAATTGTGCATGAATACATACCCGGCACGGGACTCGATGAAATGACGTAATAATATTATGCACGAATAGAATATCAGGAGCAACCATATACATGTTAAATTATCATCTGAGACTTAATAGAATAATTAGAATGAACCAACACTGGAGAATCAAAGGCAATTATCATGTCAAGTACCACTGAGAACTAGAATTCATTGGAATTATGTACGTTCATCATCCGCTCGTTTTATGTAATTCACGCCAAAAAAAGAAGGAAGGGGTAGCTTAACATACCTTGTCGCTTTTTAAACTTAACGTCGGCTTCCCAAACTCGCGAATCTATAATCAAAATATATATATATATAATTCAGTCCCAACTATCCCTTTCCTACCTCCGATTTGATTAACAAATGACTTAACCAAATTCGGGCGACATCTTCTCTAAATAATTCACCCCCATGCGAACTCCAAATCACAACAACAATACCAACAAACTTATGAACGTCTAATCCATAAGAACATAGCACAATAATTCTCCTCATAATTCCACAAAATCCAATTCATGTCTTCACAATTTCATATAAACAACTACAACTCTAAATATCAAGATCCCTTCATTTTTAACACATAATCATCTTCTAGAATTACTTTGTACAAGGATTAAGACATGCTCGAACTTAACGTGTTGACAATTCGGGCATTGAGCAACAAACCCCGTTGTGTCCATTTTCATGCCATCCCACCAATATAAGCATCTGAGGTCATGATACATCTTCGTTGACCCTAGATGAATAGAATAACGGGCAGAGTGTGCCTCTCCCATAACCTGTCGTCGTAGGCCTGCAACATCAGGTACACACAATCTACCTTCATATCGTAGTACTCCATCAGTTGTAACCTTGAATGGGGTCTTTTCCTTTTGAAGAGTTGTATCTCTATATTGTGCCAGAACAAGGTCCTCGTACTGATGCCTCTTTACCTCTTCTATGATAGAGGACTCAGCAACTTCTCGAACAGAAACTCCACTATCTGCAAAATTAGCCAAACGGACTCCAAGGCTAGTTAGCTGATAAATCTCACGAACCATCTCCTTCCTTTCTAGCTGCATGTCTATCAAGCTACCCATAGATTTACGGCTAAGAACATCTGCTACAACATTTGCTTTCCCTAGATGGTATAGAATATCAACATCATAATCCTTTAGTAACTCTAGCCACCGCCTGTGTCATAAATTTAGCTCTTTCTTCTTAAAGATATATTGGAGACTCTTATGATCCATATAAATATCAATATAAACACCATATAAATAATGCCTCCATATCTTCAAGGCATGAATCACTACTGCTAATTCCAGATCATGAGTAGGATAATTCTTTTCGTGCTTTCTGAGCTGTCGGGAGGCATAGGCTATAACCTTGCCTTGCTGCATCAATACACAACCTAGTCCAACACCTGAAGCATCGCAATAAATAACATAGCTATCTAGTCCCTTAGGAAGAGTTAGAATTGGAGTCGTAGTCAACTTGTCTTTCAGCAACTGAAAGTTTTGCTCACAAGCATCCGTTCACTGGAATTTAGCTGCCTTCTGAGTTAGCCTTGTAAAAAGTGCTGAAATCGAGGCAAACTTTTCTACGAATCTCCTATCATATCCTGCTAGCCCCAGAAAACTACGTACCTCAATAGGTGTCGTAGGTCTGGGCCAAGTATTTACTGCCTCAATCTTCTGTGTATCTACCTGAATACCATCGGTTCCAATAATATGATCCAAGAATGCTATTGACATCAACCATAATTCACACATAGAAAACTTAGCATACAACTTCTGGTGCTGGAGTATCCTAAGTATCGTCCTCAAATGTCTACATTCTCTTCTTTTGAACGTGAATAAACCATAATATCATCAATAAATACAATAACAAACATATTTTGGAATGGTTTGAATACCCTGTTCATCAAATCCATAAACACTGCTGGAGCATTGGTCAGCCAAGAAGACATCACTCTAAACTCATAATGCCTATATCGAGTCCTGAATACCGTCTTCGGAATATCTGCCTCCCTTACCCGCACCTGATGATAACCTTACCATTAGTTTATCTTCGAAAAATACTTAGCACCCTGCAACTGGTCAAATAGATCGTCAATCCTGGGGAGGGGATACCTGTTCTTTATTGTTACTTTATTCAGCTGCCTATAATCAATACACATCCGCAGCGACTCATCCTTCTTCCTCACAAATAATACCGGTGCTCTCCAAGGTGATGTACTAGGCCTGATGAAGCCTTTTTCTAGCAAGTCTCTCAATTTCTCCTTTAATTCTTTCAACTCCGCAGGTGCCATTCTATAAGGGGGAATAGATATGGGTTGGGTATCTAGCAGTACATCTATAGTGAACTCTATCTCCCGTTCTGGAAGAAGACCTAGAAGTTCATCTAGGAATTCATTAACTACTGGGACTGACTGAAGAGCCGGTACCTCTGCTTTCATATCATGCACTCGAACCAAATGATAAATATAACCTTTTCTAACCATCTTCCTTGCCTTGAGGTATGAAATAAACTTACCTCTCAGCGATGTTGTATTCCCTCTCCACCTTACCTCTTGGAAACCGAAATCGAACTGCCTTTTCTCTATAATCAACAAGAAGCCATAATATAGTATAACAAGAAGCCAACCAATTTATACCCATAATAATATCAAACTCAGTCATGTATAACTCTATCAGATCTGCTATGGTATGATGACTATATATAACCACCAAACAATTTCTATATACTTGCTTAGCTATGACAGAATCTCCTACCGGTGAAGCTACCTCAAATGGCTCTATCAACTCAGGTTCTATTCCGATTTTACTAGCAACAAAGGGGGATATATATGATAAGGTGGAACCTGGATCTATCAATACATATACGTCCCGGGAGAAAATCGATAATATACCTGTAATCACATTCAGTGACGCCTCCTGATCCTGCCTACTGGCCAAAGCATATATGCAGTTCGAAGGACCGCTAGAACTGGAAACTCCACCACGACCTCTACCACAACCTGCTAGTGTCTGAACACCCTGCCCAATAGGGTCATAGCTATAGAAGAAGATCTAGTAGGTTGAGTCATACCACCTGTACCACCTCCATAAGGACACTCTCTCATCATATAGCCTTGACGGCTGCAAGAAAAACAAGCACCTGTAGCAAGACAGTATTCCCCAAAATGGGGCCTACCACACCTGGAACATCGAGGTAAAGGTGGCCTCGACTGACTCGAACCCCTATTCTTATGTGAACCTGAAGCCTTGGAGCTCTGACCAGCTCCTGAATACCCTGTGCGGTCGAATCTACTACCTGTGAACTGTGGGGGTGCACTCTGTGCTGGCTGGGAAGAATATCTAACATGTTGCTGAGGCTGCCCGCCTTGAAGCTCACCAGAATAACCCTCCGATCTAGCCCTCTTATACTGGCCTCTATTATTACCTCTATCTGGCTGACGTCCCATGTGCCGATCCTCTACCCCCTATGCGTATGCCTGTACCCGAGCAATATCCGTACCTAGTTAAAGAGCCACTGTCATACAACCATCAATCAAATAACGATCCAGTCCCATCACATAACAATGCACTCTATCTACCATATCATCTACAATAGTAGGCGCATATCTAGCCAACAAATCAAACTCAAGACTATACTTTCGAACACTCATACCATTTTGCCTCAAACGTAAGAACCTATCAACTCTAGCTCGCGTCATCTTTGGAGGCAGGAAGTGGCCAAGAAAGGCCTCCACAAACCCATCCCATACCACTGGAGGAGCACCCTCACCCCTAGATAACTCCTAAGACTCATACCAATTAACCGCTACATCCCACAATCGATAGGAAGCCAACTCAACAGATTCAGTCTCAGAAGCCTCGATTATCCTCAATGTATATTGCATCTGCCGAATAAACTCCTGTGGATCATCCTCGGGCTTTGACCCAAAAAACTCTAGAGGATTACAACCTAAGAAGTCATGAGTACTCAAACTATCAGATATGTCTGCATGGTCAACTCCTAGTCCATGCCTACGAGCCTGCCCTGCCACTAATCTGGTCAGCAACTGAACTGCATCTCTCATGGCCATATCCTCTGCCCTTGGCTGAGGAGCTGGAGGCTTAGGTGCTGGGGCCTCGGCAGCTGGCAGTGGTGCTACCCCCTGAACTGGAGTTGTTGCTGCTCTAAGCTCCTCCGGAGGTGGCGGTATAGCAGAGCTCGCCGACTAGACTACAATCTTAGGCATAGACTGGGCACGAGCCCTAGTAACTCTCCGGGTCTGACTAGTATCTCCTGCTACCGATTTTCCCTTCTGGCCAGTTGTCGCTTTCTTTGGAGGCATAGCTGAAAACACAATAATTCGTTAGAGAGGCATTATCCTGATAACATAGCTCTATCGCACGATCTAGAGTAAGAAGGAAAAGTGACATCCTAAATGTCCTGTAGCTTCTTATTTATATATGAGGTGCACAACGCATCGATAAACAAGACTCTACTAGACACGGTCTATAGACACTCCGAGGATGAACTGCTCTGATACCACTTTTGTCACGACCCAACCCGACGAGCTGTGACTAGTGCCCGAGCTGGACACTTATATACGAATTTGCTAGATATAATCAGACTAAAACTAAGGACAATATAGAAATTTGTAAAAGCAAGCTATAGACTCATAATGTCATATATCATAATGAACCTGTCTCCTAAGGAGTCATAGCTAACCAAAACATAACAAAATATGCAAGCCGACAAGGCTGCCATTATATACAGGGATATCCAAAATGAGCAATATCGATATAACTGACCAAATTATATACAACCCACACATGTCTACAAACCTCTAAAAGTATAATAGTGAAAAATGGCGGGATACCCCTGGATATGCATAAATCTATATCAGAGGATCTGTACCAAAATGACTCAGGCTCCGAAACAATGGAGCTCTCCAAATAGCTGAGCAGAAGTCTTAGGCTGAAGGATCACCAAACTGAGTATATGTACCTGCGGGCATGAAACGAAGCCCCCAAAGAACCCGGTCAGTACGAAAAATGTACTGAGTATATAAAGCATGAAGTACAATAAAGAAGATCATGACTAAGTAAAAGATGACACGAGACAAGTATGATAATCAAAGATACAAATGCACCTATACTTATGAGATGAGAGTCATGCATATCTATATAATTACCGTACCCGGCCCATTACAGGACTCGATGAATGAAGTCATATACATGTATATCGTACCCGGCCCTCTAGTGATGTACTCGGTGAAATAATCAT